TAGTGTAGGGCAGCGGATGTGGCTCACTTGGTAGAGAGCTTGTTGCTCACACACAAAGCCCTGGGTTTGATCTGGGCACCACAGAGAGCAGACCCACAATCCTAGCACTTAGGGGGTATTAACAGGAGGACCAGAAGTTCAGGGTCGCCCTCAGCCACACAGTTTGGGGCCAGCCTAGGATATATGAGACTTTGTCTGAGAAAGATTTTAACTGGAACATGTTTGCATGAATTTATGGGCACAGGACGATGGCTTGCCACAGGTATGCAGTATGTAATGAGCAAACCACAGTGAAGAGCTTTTCGATCTTAAGAGGAATAGCACAGAATAAAGGCCTGTGTAGAGAGGGCACCGTCCACAGAGGGCTTGTTGTATTAGCATGCGGGTCTGAGTTCAACCCCCGGCACCCACATAAAAACCAAGCCCTTATAACCTCAGCTCTAGGGAGGCAGAGACAAGAGCGTCGCCAAGGCTTGTTGGCCATCCACTCTAGCTGAATAAGTGAGCCACAGATTTGGTGAGACACTCTGTCTCAAAATATAAGGTGACTGGTCAGGGTCCTCCCCAATATTCCAGGCTAGGTAAACTAGAGATCTTGCCAATGAAGTTGGTTGATGCGTTTTTTTTTTTTTAAGATTATCTTTTGTTCTACTGTTCTGTGAGGCAGAGCCTATGAAGCGGTTATTAAGGTTAAAGGAGGGGCTTGGAATGTGGCTAAATGCACACTTAGAATTCACAAGACTGTCAGCCAAGTCCCCAGCCCTGAAAGGGAAATTGGATGAGCTCATAGGGTAGCCCAAAAGGACTGAGATCCTTACAAGAGGTAGAGGGTATGAAGGATGCAAGCAGGTGAAAAACCTCTCCGGGTCAAGGTGGGAAGGCTCCAAGAGATCACACCCTCCAGATCCTCCATGCTGGACTCTGCATTAATCAACTTTGTCACCACAGCAGAACACCTGGTGCAAGCTGCTGTGGAATTCGAGAAGTATACTTTGGCTCACAGTTCTGGAGATCCAAGTTCACGGGGAAGAGTTCAATTTCCTCTGGGACCATATTATGGCTTAGGGCCTTCCTTCCCCTCCCCTTTCTGATACTTAATGATACTCATACCCCAAACTCTGCTTGCAGGGATTCTGAGTCAAGACAGCCCCAAAGTAAAATTCCAAGATCAAGGGTGTAGCTTAGCAGTGGAGTGCTTGCTTAGCAGCAGCAGAGGTGTGTGTGTGTGTGTGCGCGCACGCGCGCGCGCACGCTTGTGACCACACTTCAATGGTCTACTTGACATAACTTAGAGTCACCTGGGAAAGGTCTCAGGGAGACACTGTCTACACTGGGTTGGCCTGTGTCTTAATTAAGTTACCTGGCGTGGGACGCGACATCACCATGGGCAGCACCACTCCCTGGGCAGCGGAGCAAGCCCAGGAGCATCTCTGTGACCCCTACATCAAGCTGCTGGAGAGAGTCCATACCTAACACCACTTCTTTACTTCCCTTCCTCACTCCAGGCTATGTCTTTGGCCCTTGGCCATACACAGGTCCAGGCAGTCTTGCCGAGGTCATGGTGAAGTGGGGGGACGTAACTGCCACTGTTAGGTGGGGATGACCTTGAACTTCTGGCCCTCTTGTGTCCACCTCTAAAATACTGGGATTATAAGACCCCTCCACCAAGCCTGGTTTATGTGGTGCTGGAGCCTGAACACTGAGCTTCCAGCATTCAGGACAAACACTTTACCTACTGAGCCACATTGCTGGCCTGCATTTATTTGCTGAATAAAGAAATGATTTCGATAAGTGCTGTCACTAAAGACAAATATTCACTCTCGTTCCTTTCCAACTGTGGAACAAAATTCATGGGAGCTGACTTTACAAAAAACGATCCCTGTTTATGGAAAGAGTCCCTCTTCTACAGAGCAGAGATAAATTATGTTGAAATATTTTTAGGGCCCAGAAATCTTTAAGCAGCTCGTATCTCTTCGTGAAGATTATGCCAGTAGCAAAATTAACAAAATCAGTCAGGCTCTTAAAGAACAGCCCATAAATTAAAGACATCCGACAAAATCCAATTATAAAGGGACAAATTCTGTATGAACTTCAAACACTACCTGCTCCACTGTGGCTGCAGAGGCTGCAGACTCTCTTGCTGCACCGGGCTGGGGGCAGCCCTCCTAGGGTGACATTTATAGGTGGTTAGGTGTGCTAAAGGCAAGGAGCCAGTGGGAACATCCTTTTCCGATTTTTTTGTTTGTGATATATGCATGTACATGTGTGTTACGATGAGTATGTGCCTCTTGTGTGTGAGCATGCATGAGGAGGCCAGAGGTGACCATTGGGTGGACTCTTCTGTGTTTCTCCACCTTATATTTTGGGACAGGGTCACTTTACTGAACTTGAGGCTGACCTCAAGTTAGTTAATTCAGCTAGACTGGAGGGCCAGCAATCTCCAGCAGTCAGTCTGTCCCCCCTCCGACCTCAGAACCGGGGTGACAGATTTGGTCGACTGCACCCAGCTTTTGCATTGCTGCGGAGATCTGAATTTGAGTCCTCGTGTTTGTGTGGCATGTACTTAACCTACTTAGCCATCTCCTCAGTCCTTCTTTTCCACTTCCTGAAACACATCATTTCAAAACACCAGAGGGAAGCCCTGGGTGGCCACCCTGGTTTTCAGCAGCTTTAAGTACACGAGTACCTTGGGCAGGATTATTTTTTTGCTGTGATGAGGTATACACATTACAGGTCTCAGCAGAGGATAGCTGTAAACACGCAGTTCCGTGAGATAAATGCGCCCACGCTGTTGTGGATCCACCCATCTCCCAGACTGTTCCATCTTCCCAAAGGGAAACCTTCACTAAAGATATCCCCAGCACTGGTGAGATGGCCCAGTGGGTAATGGAAATCGCTGCCGTGCCAGAGGACCTGAGTTTGATTGCCGAGATCCACGTGGTGGAAGAAGAGAGACTGGAAAAATGTCCTCTGACCTCTCTGTACAAATGCCGTGACACACACACACCACCCCCCACCCCCCAAATAAACGAAAAGTAATTTAAGAAAACGCCACTCTGCCCCCTTAGTCCATGGAAAGTCGCCACCCCACTTTCTGTCTGCACGACAAGCACAGGGACCTTCTGGAAACAGACCACGCGGTACTTGCCCTTTGGTGTCTGGGTTATCTCACTCAGCGTGACAACCTCAGGTTTATCCCTGTCAATAGCAAGTGTCTGTCTGACACACAGCTCCAGCCAGTCACGGCTCATCTTCTTTTCCAGAAGGTTTTCTCCTGCTGCTCTGCTTATTTAAACTCTCATCACCACTCCAGGCTCGGCTCAGCCGGTACTGCGTCAGCTCCGGCCATCATCCCCGCCATCAACTTTCCACGCTGATTTAGCTGTTTGCCTGAGTACTACTTAATACACTGCCAGCAAGCGTGTAAGCTCTGGAGGGCAGAGACAATGCCTGGCAGCTTAACCCGGGCCATGCACATGAACACTGACAAGCCCCCTTTAATAAAGCCCCGCCTGAATGAACGGAGGGGCAATCATGGTATGAATGCTGCGTGACAAACCCATTCCCACCCTTCAAAGGTATCAACTGGTAAGGGTGGAACAGCATCTCTCGAGAAGCTATGCTGATGTTTTAAGTGTAATACCCACGACTGGGGCTCTTAGTTGAAAATAAGGTCTTTGTGGATGTCACTGCATCCACATGAAGCCACTGAGATGGACTCTTATCCAGGACGATTAGTGTGCTAAGAAGAGGGGACTGGGGCACAAGCAGACACAGAGGGGAAGGTGGCTTAGGGGATAGAGTGAGGACCTAGAAAAATCCAGGCTGCTCAATGCTGGGAGAGAAAGGAGGCATTTGGAAGCCTGGAGGAAGCGAGGCCCCACCCAAACACCGGCTTTGGACTTTAGCTTCAGAACGGCGGAGAAACGCAATGTGCTGTTCTAAGCCTCTAGTGAGTAGGATATTTGGCTCTCCTCCGCACAGGTTCTGCACCTGCAGGTTTAATAGACTGCAGACTGGAGATAACTGAAGCAGGACTGTCTCTGCACTGGCTATGCATGCTTTGTAAGGATTGTCTACACGATGCAATAGACTGACCATGATGTTTTCCAGAGATGGTTTAAAAATCTACAGGGGGACATGCCTAGGCACCATGTCAAAACCGTGCCATTTTATAAAAGGGATTAAGTACACAAGGATCTTGGTACCCTCGGGGTCCTGGAACCAATCTCCAGGGGACATGGAGGACAGACTGTGCTTGGTGGAAAAGGATCCAACATGACCAAATGACATGACTCCGTCTGTGCTGGCGCATCCTCACTGAACTCAAGGATGGCTCTGCGGCTCTGAGAGGACCGGATTCAAACTCAACCGGCTACTGAGCGTAGGGTCTCCATGCTAGGGGTATTGTGTCAGCTTGGACGATATCCAGGTATGTGTGGGGCAATCTGGCCTTCAACAACCCCATCAACATCAACAACCCCATCTCCATCATCTCCATCAACAACCCCAGACTTTCTCAGCTAATCCTCTGACAGCCACAAAGACACAGTCACTTCCTCCAAGTGACTTTCTTAGAGTCTACCTCAACTCGAGTCAGGTGATGTCAGACCTTAAAATTCTAGAATACAATCCCTTTCTTTCTTTCTTTCTTTCTTTCTTTCTTTCTTTCTTTCTTCCTTCCTTCCTTTCTTTCTTCCTTCCTTTTTTGTTCCTTCCTTCTTTTCTTTCTTTTACTTTTTAATCTTATTCTGCTTTGCTAGCGATAGGTTAGCACCAGTCCAAATGGTGTTTCCAGAGCTTTAAGATGTAGAGGATGACAGCTTCTCCTTTGATTCTGACCGTGTCAACTGGACCTTGTATGTTTCTCTCAGCCTGTGACTTATGACAATACAACTCAAAAATTTTAGCAGTACGCAGCCTCAACTAGTGTGGGGAAGCTCTATCCTCCCTCCCATAGTTCAGTCCAGCCCCGCCCTGGGAAGAAGGTGCAGACTTACGGTTCTCAGAGGAACATGATGTGTGGGGGACGCCAGTGGAGGCCGAGTCGGACTCTGAAAAGCCAGGCAGAAGCGCTGGCCAGTGTCCGGTGGAGATGAGGAAGCATAAATGCGGTTTTCTAGGCGTTCAGGCTCTTGCTTATAGGACTCCAGGGGGAACGGGTGTGGCTTGGTCACTTGGGTGGGTGTTGATGGAGAAGAGGAGACGCTGGAGGCTGCAGGGAGATAACAGAACTTATTAGAAGTGGAACCTCATCAGAGAAAAGGGGGGGTCTTTGGCTCTGAGAGACAAAACCCCTGAAATATTAAATGTAGGAATCAGGGAAGAGTTTATGAAGTGTATTCACAGCCTCTTAGAAGTTCAGGGTTCAGAAAGACCCTCACCATCCATGCTGAGGTGTGAGCAGGCCCCCTTGTTGGGGTGTTCACACAGTCCTGATATTATTAAGGCTTGCCTCTTCAGTCCTCCACACACACAGTCTCGCCCGCCCCTTGGCCAATACTGCTTGCTTCCTTCTCCATCCCCAACAGGCTTGTGCCAACAGCAAACGCCATGGAGCCATATTGGTGGAGGCTGCTTATAGGGAAATGCATAGTGAGCTCAGCAGAACCGAGGTCACTGCTGAGGAAGTCACATGACTGCACGGCTGAACAGTATGGTAAGTGTCCCAATGAAAGAAGGGGCATTTGGGCATGATGGCAACGCCTTTAACCCTAACATTCAGGAGGTGAAGGCAAGCAAATCTCTGGGAATTTGAGGCCAGCCTGGTTTACATAGTTAGTTCCAGGTCAGCCAGGGTTCTATAGTGAGACCCTGCCTTTAAAGAAGAGGAAGAAAAGGAGGAGGAGGAGGGGAGGAGGAGGAGGAGAAATAAAGAGACATAGCTACATACATGTGCACATGAGAGGTAGAGAGGGAAAGAGAGGGGGAGAGAGAGAGAGAGAGAGAGAGAGAGAGAGAGAGAGAGAGATCCTTGGAGCAGAGGGTGATATATGTACACACAAGAACACAAGAAGGACAGCTGGCAACACCAGAGGCCAGAAGAGTTGGGGACAGGGCCTGTCCCACATGATGTGGAAGACTCATGGCACCGTCATGCCTTAGTTTTGACTCCTGTTTTGCTTTCTGATAGGGTCTCATATACCCGTGGCTGGCCCTGAACTTACTACATTGCTAACCAAATCTTTAAATGTTGTAATGAGGTCAGAACAGGCTACTTGTGAGTGTCAAACAGGAAATATTTCATCCTTCCTCTCTCCACTTAGTCTCAACCAGTTACCCAGTCCTGCTTGGTGCTTCCCGGGTGGACATGCCTAACTCCTAATGGGGCATGGAATGGGGGCTGATGAGGTACAACAGAGCAGGGTGGGCCAGGTAGGTCAGGACTGAAAAAAATAAACCTGTACCACACACACACATCCTAGGGTTTGTCATTGGCAACCCTTCCAAGGTCTGGGGTTTCCATGTGCCAAGACAGGGGCAGTCAGTCCTCAGTGATCTGCAATGCTTCCCTGACCCACTGTGACAGAAAGCACTGATAACCAGTCTCCAGGGAGCACAGTCAAAATGCCCTTGGGCTGTAACTTTACCTAGTCTCCATTCAGACTTTCTGGTTCAAACCTCATCCACAAACACATTTCCAAAGACTCAGAAGAGCATGTGCCTCCGAGGAGGCCATTTTTTGCTGATCAAAACTACAGATCTGGAACTAGAGAGACGGGTCAGTAAGGAAAGTGTTTTGGTTTGCAAGAATCAACAGAATTTGATTCCCAGAAACCACTTAAAACAAACAAAACAAAACAAAAATTAGGCATAGTGGCTGTGTACTTGGAATCCTAGTTTTGGGAGACAGAGACAGGAGAATCCCAGGGGCTCACCTAGCCCTCTTGGAAAATTCCAGGCCAAATGCAAGACCCTGTCACAAACAAACAATTAAACAAACCCAAACAACTACCCCAACTAAGATGGCTGTCACCGGAAGAGCAATACCCAAGCCTGTCCTCTGCCCGCATACGTGTACCTGCATGCTCACACAGGTGGACATATTAATTGATTCCTCAGCTCTGCCTTCCTCACCGAGTGATGGGTTATAGAGGTGCTGATTTTGAAAGCAGGGTTCACATGCCCACCTGTTTATTAAGGGGTGGAGTGAGCCACGGCTGCACAGTGCCTGATGGGAAGGGGTCAGCCCTGGGCGTGAAATGATGTCATCTGGAGTTCTGAAGAAGGGGAAAGGATTTTATATCTACAGTGTTCGCATCCTGCCGATCTGCAGGTGTCTGTCCCATGCTCTACACTGTGGGTACGGTGGGTGATGTTAAATCTTCTTGTCAATTTGACGGCATTGAGAGTCTCCAGGGACACATGCCCTCTGGGTGTGTCTATTAGGGTGTTTCCAGACAGGTTTAATTGTGGGTCCCATCATCTCGTGGACTGGGTGTCCCAGACTAAACAAAAGGGAATGCTAGCTATGCATCAGCATCCAGTCTATTCCAGACTGCAGAAGCAATGTGACCGGCTGCCTTAGCTCCTGCTACTCTGCCTTCCCTGCTACGATGGACCGTACCCACACCATGAGCCAAAAGAGACCCTTCCTTCCTTACATTGTTTATGTTCGCATTTTGTCATGGTAACAAGAAAGGTAATTATACAAGTGTGTATTATATATTTTGAAAATAATTTTTTCTATCCATTGTTCTTTTATGAGCCGCTGGCGAGCCACGTGTTTAAGCACAGGTCACCCCTACACTAGTCCTCTCTACAACTCTGTGTAACTTCCACCAGAGCCAGAGACAGGGCCTTGTCATCCTGAGCTGACTCTTGTCTGAGGAGTACAGGCTCCTTCCTTTTGTTCTTTTTAAAAGAATATGATGATGAAATGTCCCGGGCAGCTTACGGAGCAGCTGCAAGTGGAAGCGCCATGCGGGGTGGGGTGGGGTGGTGGTGGTGTGGGGGTGGGGGGTGTGTCAGGGTCCCCGGGCGAGCGGCAGAGTCAAGCGGCTGGATGCGGTGAACGGCAGAGTAAATGAACATAAGGCTATATATATAAAGCTAGACATTTATTACTTAAAAAGGGAGATATAGACAAACATAAAACAAAGACATACATACACACACATACATACATACACACACACACACACACACACACACGCACACCAGAGAGAGAGAGAGAGAGAGAGAGAGAGAGAGAGAGAGAGAGAGGGGGGGGGGGGGGGGTCCAAAAGTGGCTGGGATGGGCGTGGTTAGTTCTTAAAGTGTCCCAATGGAATAACACTTCCCTTCCCCCCCTATTTCTACATCTTGGTCTGTCTGTCCATCTTGGCAAGAAGCTATCTACTCAGACCATTCCCCTGCAAGAGGCCCGGTCACTGCTGGGCGAGGGGCCTCACTGACAGGGAAAACGCCCTGCTGGTTCTTTGGGCAGCGAGCATCACCTTTCCAGTGTGAACCATTGGAAGTGAGTATCAGCAGCTTGCTCCAGAGGGCTCAACGAGGTACAAGCCATCAAACTTCTGGGGCCCTGATTCCTTGTAGGTTGTGCAAATGTTGAAAGATCCTAACCTACTACAAGGGAGGCCAGAAGAGAAGGCCAGAGGCTGCGGGGCACTGGGCCACTGCGAGCACTGGCCAATGTCCTTGGGGGAGAAACAAGCAGAGTGGTTTTTGCTGTTGGGATGAATATCCTACCTCTGATGTGGCTAGAAGACTTTCCGCCCCTCAAGAATAATTCTGTAGCCACTTTCAAAGACTGTGAGGTGTTTTCCTCTTCCACCTGGCTGCCTCACCTCCATCCTGCTCTCCTCTCTGAGCCAGAACCTCGCATGAGGGAAACAAATGCACAGTGACTCCAGAGGTTGGGTCAGGCAGCTTTCCGGGACCATGACACACACCCAAGACAACTGACTTAGCAAAAGAGGAGGCTTATTCAGGCTCATGGTTTCAGTCCATGATGTGTGATCCTACTGCCGGGCCAGTGGTGGCCCAGAGTGACAAGTGTGTGTGACTAGGTCACAAGATAGGAGGAAGAGACCAAGGAACCACAATGCCTTGCAAGAAAACATCCCCAAGGACTGAAGACTTCCTACCAAACCCTATTGCCTAAATTTCCCATAATCACCAAGTTGGGAACCCAGTCTTTAACAGATGGGTCACTGGGTGAACATTCTAGATACAGACCATGGCAGAAGCGGAAGGGTACCGTGTCAGGCAAAGGGATAGTGAAATGCCCGGTGCAGGGCAAGGCTCACATACATGGAGAACGTGTGATTAGCTTAGGAGTACAGGGGAAAACCTTCCTAGAATAATAATAATAAAAAAAACATGTCCCCCTCTTCCCCCTGGTGGGTGAGATGTCTTCCAGCACGCTGCAGCACTTCCTGCTGCCTGCAGCATCCTGCCTGCCACACACCCTGGGTCGCCTGCTTCTCAGCCACCTACCCTGGAGCTGAAGGACATTTAGTTACTTATCCACTCCCGTTTGTCAAGCAAATAGCAGAGTTCATATGTCCTGACTCCAGTTCCCAAACTCCTTTACCATAAAGAAATTGAGATGCCATCAAGGGACAGGACCAAAGATGTAAAATCATGTAAAATTCCATTTCAGCTATGTGAACTCTTTCTCTGGAAAGGGTTTTGCAGGCCGACGGGAAAGAGAGTCTGGAGATACCTGGCTCACGAAAAGGCAGGAAGGGGTGCTAAGAAGGGTGAAGGATGTGCAGAGGTGGGGCTGGGCCTGGGACTCTGAGTCCTCTCTACACTGGGTGGCCTTGGCCAGGCAGCTTTCTCGCCAGACTGGCAGGGAAGGCAGGGACAAAGATCAATTGTCACCATGTGGGTGCTGGCTTCAGTCATTATTTAGGAAAGGCCATAGGGCTGGTGAGGACATTCCTGAGTGATTTTCTGTTTGAATATTGGTGTCCCCATTAGTAAATCAAGGGGCAAGAGGGACAACACCGCCTCAAGTCTCCATTCCTTTACAACCCAAAAGGACAGCGCGTCCAGCCCTTTGATGCTGTGACGGCTGCTGTCGTTTGTAGAGTTTATGCTCAATCACCATACAATCAAGTTACAAAAGAAAAATCATAAAAGAATCTCATAATGTTTTAAGGAAGTTTATGACCATGTTGGGCTCCACTCATAGCTTTCCTGGGGTGTGTGTTTACATAGACTCATTACTACTTTCTCACTAGACAGACTACAACTTGGCTATCT